CTAACATCATTGATGAGAGCGGCTCTTACAGGATGGGCATAAAGATCGAGGTGGAGCCGGTAGTGTCCTTCCGGTGTTGTATGACGTGTTTATTTCACCCCCATATCGAGAGTGTCTACGCCACCAGCTTTAATGAGTCTGGTCGACTATACGTGGCCTTCCATCATCGTCAGTGTTCGCGCTTGTCTGAAATCACAGTTGCTGTTTTCAGGGGCTCGCCATTCTTGCCCGAGTGCTGGCTCTGCTAGGTCTAATATGCTTGGTAACTTTAGTGCTTTTCTTTGGGTAGCGAGGCTCTGGAAAACTCGTGCAAGACTTTCTTAGGTTCCATATGTGCCTCCTTCTGACGGGCAAGACGACGAAGCAAGTTCTGCGGCCGAACAAGCGGTTCCCGTCCCGACGGACTCCGTGGTGTGAAAGTCTGTTCACTCGACATGCTCCCTTCTTCAACCCCCGGTTGAGAGTGCCGAGATCAGCTGCCATTCAAATTGTCTGAATTCAGCACCTATTCGCAGATAAGTGTTCTCGCGCAGATTTTCTTTGATTTTTGTGGTAGTACGCTATCCCACTGTCCTCGCAATTCGTTTCCATTTTGATGAGCGTCTGTCGAGTCTGAAGAATTCCACGAGTGTATGATGCAGTTCGAGGCCGGTTGGGCCCCTCTCGTTGCTTCTTTTCGTGGCGTCCTATGGGCCTTCTGAAAATTGTACGAAAAGTGAAGGAGCAGGAGCGTGAGATTCGCTTGTTGATACTGTAAGTCTCCAACAGTGACATCAGTACATCGCTTCGCTGTGGCTGTGAATCGTCCAGCTGAGCTCCCCACTTCTGCTTCGATTTTCAGTGGCTTGGACAATGCAGGGAAGACTACAGTGCTGCTGAGATTCAACGGGGAGGACATCTCTCAGATTCCACCCACTGTTGGATTCAACATCAAAACTATTCTCTTCAATGAGTGAGTCTTCAGCTATTCGTGATGGTGCAGTTGAAGGAAGGCCCGTGAGCGACTTGGAGACAGGAGGGGCTCCGAGCTCGAACATATCGCTCATGACGCGCGATACATGGGATATCTGATGAGTTCAACACGATGGTTTGAGAATCGAAATTGACTTCCGGTCATTTAAACTGGACAGGTTTGCTTGCAACTGGACAGGCTTGCGAGCTCATCGAAAACAGTGTCCGGCAGGGTTCTCTCCTATCTACCGCGATTTATCTGAGCTTTCGTGTTGTGTGCATTTCTCATTGTTCAAGTGATGCGACCCTCCTTCAGTTATAAGTTGAACATCTGGGATGTTGGCGGGCAAAAAAGTATCCGTAGCTTCTGGAGGAACTATTTCGAAGCTACTGACGGTCTGGTGGGAGTTGCTTACTACCACGCATTAGCAGTCATGACCTGCAGGTCTGGGTTGTTGACTCGCTCGACCGTCATCGCCTGTCTGATTGCAAGGAAGAGCTCCACAAGTTGCTTAGAGAAGAACGTCTTGCTGGCGCCTCTCTTCTGGTACGGGAGCATATTGGAATCATTGAGAGTTTGAAAAAATACCGAGGGGCTGCTCATCGTCAATGCATTTTTTTTTCTGGTAGATCCTTGCGAACAAGCAGGACATCGCCGGCGCCCTCTCCCCTGAAGAAATCCGCAAGGTGGGTGAATGACGCTGCGACTTGTGCGCTGGTCGAGAGGGTTGTCCCGTCAGCATCTGGAGCTGGAAACAATGTCTATGTCTCGACACTGGTATGTTCTGCCGTGCTCGGCAGTGACGGGTGAAGGACTGTCTGAAGGAGTCGAATGGATTGTTGACGATTGTGCAAAACGTGTTTTCACTCATGGATGATTTCTCGAGCTTCGCCACTGTTCACTTACAGCGAGGCAGACGGGGGGCGTTTTAAATGCTACTGATGGTCTACTCCATGCTGATCCCCCTGATCCGGCCAGAGCAGTCCCGGGCCTTTTCCTTATAGTTGTCTTGCCTCCCTTGCTTGGCTGTGTGTAAATGTATGCCAGCTCACAAGAACGCTTGGGGGACGCTGAGCGATCGTCATTCGTCCGCTTTTGTAAGAACGTCCCACTGGTATTTATGTAGATGAGCGTTTGAGGAGTGCTGTGTTCTCCGTCTTAAAGGAGTACTGTCCAACTTTCAGAGCTGCAGAAGTTTGCTGAAGGAGATATCTGGTGTGTCCAGAGCCAGAGTAGAGGAACTATGGTCTTCAGTGGCAGAAGAGATAGAGGCTTCACGTATCGACTACATCCGCACGTAAGTTCCTGACGTCCTACTAGTAACCTCCGAGTCGATTCATCACGGCACTTCGCGGGTCACCAGGTGGTTCTCCCGTTTGCACATGCCCTGTCTGTAGGGATACCCGTCTCTCCATTGCCATACGGGGTGCTGATGGTGCACAAGAACGCCTCCGGCAAGTGCTGCCAAGGTTGAGGAGTCTTCAGGAACCGCTGATAGAAGCTAATGTGAGCGGTTTTTGTCTCGGCTACTTGATGAGGTTGCTCAGAATGCCGTAGTTCGTCTCGAAAAGGAAATCGCAACTCTGAAGGAGGCTTGCTGGATCCATCATCAGCTCACAGACGTCCAGAGCTTACTGGGCCAAGTTGACCATGACTTCTTCATTGAAGATGTCATGCAACGGTGAGGTGCTCATAACCTATCCTCAATGATTGGTCACATCAGTTGTCGACTCCTGCAGAGTGCCCGAGAGCTCCTTGAGCCATTAACTCCTCTGAGTCGCCGTGGGTGCCCTCTTCTGCTTAGCTCGTGTTTAGAGACGTAAGTTCGTTTGACACCGTAAAAATATGGCACTCCTCACATAACCATGATTGACGGGTATCTGCTTCTAATACGTGCATCAATATAACGCCTTAGATTCGAGTCCCTCACCGTGGCTACCATCGAGGGGATGGTCCGAGCCGTAACCGAGGGTCCCCTGTTGACCATAGCGCACATGCATCTTGCAAGTCAGTAAGAAATATGATGCAGACTTGGCTATCGCGACCGGGAAGTCAGCAGATCACTCTCCCCTGGTCTGTGGATTGGTGCTAGAGCTTTAGATGTCGAAGTGGAGATCCTGGACGTGCTGGCTGAATGCCTTATCACCAACGTGGGTGTTGCTTGATCTCTTATGTTGCTATGCAATACTTAATAATCTAGTAAAGCAATGTCCACTTCCTTAGACGATATAGTCGTGAGGACATAGGATCGCGAATCTCAAAATCTGATCCCAGCATATCTGTCGAGAATACCAGGTTCCCGAATGCATAGATTCGCTTAACACTGTCATCTACATGGAATATGTACTGTCTCTCTAACCTGCTTCGCTCTAGGTCATCAATCCAATCGCGATTCACCGAGGGGATCTCCGACTATCATATGCGGGCTTTGCCAAGGATTGGTCTCTTGAACTCTTGGATTCTGGTGAGCTTGATGATGCCGCGGTGGGTGAGGCACTCGAGACTATGGTGGAGTTCCTCAAACGGACTGTCTTCCCAGAAGGTGAGGAGTGATTTATCTATCTATGAGAACTCGAACTCGGGAACATATTATCAGAATCATCCCCCTTTCTAGCAATGGGACATAGGCTGTGGCCCGTCATGGGCAACTGTCTGCTCGACATGGTTGCGGTGACTACTTTCGATCGGCTGAAAGCACACATGCGCAGTATAGGTTTCATTGACGAGGTAGTTTACGTTGATTGATTCAAGGCATCATTTACTTCATTCACCTCAGCACTTTGTGCCCGTGTCGTGTCCCGCGCACCCGAGCACGAACAGTGCGATAGCAGATTGCTCTATCGCTCGACCGTGTCTGGTTACCTTTGCAGCTGCCTCTACTGCGTCTGCTCAACCTGACCTGTAATCCCAGGCGTCGCTGCCAATGCCTGAGGTTCTGGCAGATGACGGGTCCCCCAATCGCTGCAAAAGTGATGGAAAGTCCGCGAGCCGGCTGCAGCACGGTGCGGTCATAGAAGCTAGGCTGACGAAATCGTAAAGCCCGTGCCGAGTACCGCCATCCAGTTTACCGATAATGAACCATCCTGAGGTAGCCATGCTTCAAATGACATCAGAGACTGACGCTGATTGAGACTGATACTAAGCTACAGCGACAAGCCTGTTTGAATTAATTCTAATCCGATGTGTTGTGCATTTTCTCACGTAGCACTCGTATTGCTTCCTCAGCGCAATTTTTCTGTCATCATATCAAATCTTCATGGATGACTTCGTCACGGAGGTGGCTGACGTTCCTATGAGCCGTGAGACCAAGCAGGGACACTTCGAGGAACATCAAGGCGACGATGAAGTTCCCTGGGCCCTCCCCGCGTGCTTGACTGAGCCTGAATTCGCCCTTGATGAGGTGAGAACTTCGGTCGCATTTACACTTGGACCGGTTTAGCGAGCAGGTCGGTACAGCGCAGCTGGAGGCGTGGGCTAAAGAGGCAAGAGATTACGTGCACGCTTTGGAAGCTCGTGTTGCGGAGACACTTGACAAGAGCAGAAGAGAGTTCATTCATACGTAAACCTCGCTTCGCTTAATTCGCTTATTCTGCCATGCCACAACTTCAGGGATATTCGGCTGTCCAGTACAATTCAGAAAATTGAGTCGGCCAAGGAGGCTCTGGGCGAGATATCCCATAGGCTTGAGGAAGCTCAACAAAAGCTGGGCGACGCGAATGTACGGACGCAGGATTGAGTCACTGAAGATTGATGCTGTCCTTGTCTCAGTCACGAGTATTGCACCTGAATAGTGAAGTGGCTGCTATGGAGGAAGCTTGTCGCGTCAGCGGGCAAGTCGCGAAGGCTCGTCGTAGTCTCGGCAAGGTATTCGAAATGGACGCTCATGGCGAGCCTGGCGATAATATAGATGGAATTCTCGCTAGGTGGGGATCAGGACTTTGAATAGTGATGCAACTTGAGACTCGTCAGGTGCCGCGCGTTGGCCGAAGTGCGCGACTTACTGCAGTCTGTGTCCACGCCCATGTCTCCCAAGAACTGTCCGAAGATCGTCAACGACTGCAATGAACTGTATGGAGAGTATTCGCTTTCGGAGGATACAATGGAGGCCTTCAGATACTCTTCGGCCTTCGCATCTATGGTGGAGACTATGGGCTCATCGCTTCGTGGGGGTCCCGTGCTGAAGATCGAGAAATGCAAGTTGTCAAGCACGTGAGTGACCATCGGGTCTGTTTCTATTCGATTAGTATGGTCATGCTCCCAGGACGGCCTGTCCAGAGCTCTGGAAAGGGGCCCGGGTACTCGGCGTAGACTCTGACCTCGTATGCGACGTTGCGGAGGACATAAATTCTAATGTGGGCGAGCCCAGGAGTGAACTCTCGCACGACCGACTGCGGCTTATCTCAGGTGCTCCGAGCACTCCTCAAGCATTCTCATGGTCTGGTGGTGCAGCAGACAGAAGATGAGTGGCATGTGCAATTGAAGAATACAGGGACAGTGCAGTTTAGTGATGTGGCGTCGGCTTTGGAGAGCATGGCTGACTTCATCAGCGCTGCTGTCTTCAGCGGAGGTAACGCACGCTGCACTCTCGGGCACTAGCTCGCTAGCACAACAAGACCTGGTGCTAGGAACACTGCGAGCTTCGGTCTAGGCTAACTTATTTGTCACGTGGGAGTGTCACTCACAACAACTTGAATTCTTCTTTCCTCTAGTGCGACAAAGCCTCTGTTGTAGGCGTTCACATTCTGTTTTACTCTCGCCAATCTCGGCATACATTCGTGGCGCCCGCGATCTGTTGGTCACTGCTCTTCTGTCATTTTGATAGAGAGAGCCCTGGTCCTTGGTGTTGTCAGATTCTGAGGCCTTCTTGATCTTCGGTTCCGCGTTGTGGCCAGGGATAGCTCGGCGGCTTCTTCGGTCTGCGAATTTCGACATCTCCACACAAGAGGAGCGTGCACAGAAACTAGAGAAGGAGATGCAGGGCAAAAGCTTCATCAGTCAGCAAATGTGCCCTCTCAAGGTCCGGCTAGGGGCGGCTAGGGCTACGATCTCGACCACAGTCTCTCTCCTTAGGATGGATTGTCAACTCGTGATGAGGCGGAGCAGAAGGCCGAGAGGTCACGAATCTTGGGACGTGCACGCAAAGAGCTCATTGCCGATACAGTCGAAGGTGTCACCGAGACTGTTGAAGTAGATTCGAAGCAGCTCGAATGTGTAGCGTCTCTGGTCTATCCCCGCGAGTTCTATGCCGAACCTCATTTAGCTCGTTACTGGTGGCGCACATGTTTCGAGCATGGCGGCTTCGGAGACATGGTTGGCAACCTGTCCAGATCGAATATCGAAGAGCGTTGAAGTAGGCGTATGTTCATCATACGTCGGGAAAAGAGTCTTCGTGTTCTCTCAGACCTTGTGGAAACTAATTGAAGACAACCCCTCAGAGAAACGCAACCTGATTGACCTGTTCATCATCCTCAAACGTGATGCTCACAGGGATATCATCGTCAATGATCCGGTCAAGGTGGGGCGCTCCCTCTAAGCATATGGTGTACAGAATGAACTCACTGTAGGCCGGCCTCCTTGTGCTGGACGTGTCGTATTTGAGTGTTCGACTTCTCTTGGATGCTACCAAATCGATGAAGGCGGACCGCCGCGACTCCGGTCTGGACCTGCTCCTTCGGCTCAGAGAGGCTGCTACTGTGGTCTTCGCACAAGCCATAAACAAAGCCTCAGACAATGCTCGGCAGAAACTGCAAAACAGTGAGAAGCCTTCTTTGTCGTTTGGGTTGCCAGTTTCTTTCATAGGCTCTGGATCATGGAAACGCGGATTGCTGAGCTCCGGCGACATGGCGGAGGCCGAGACGGCCTTAGGGGAAGCAGTAGAGTCGTTGAAGAAACTGTCCACGGTGAGCCTCGCTCTGGGTCATATCCTGGATCTGATAATCATCTGTCCATCCTAGGCATGGACCCGATACCTCCCAGAGCCCCTCAAATTGCCAGCCCTGGCAGTGGCAGCAGATGCCACTCTCAGAGAACTCGCTGAACTGTAGCACGATGGTTAAGTTCGTGTGGTCTACTTCGCCTCGCTTCATTGTTAGATCTGTGCAAGCCCTCGACAAATCATGGCGAATGAACCCCAACAAACAAGACGGCTCAGCAGTTGCAGCTCTGTTAGAGTGAGGAAACTCGCTTGTGACTTCGCAGTTGGAGCTCATCTCTATCTCAGCTTTCTGTTGGTATCGACGCGAGAAGCCATTTGTCCGGATCCAAAAATTCAACCACCATCCTTCGCCTCCGTGGCTCTCATGAAGGACTGTCTGATGCTCCCATGGGAAGATCTACTCAACCTCTCGGATGATCGCCTGCCGGACGCTGGGACGGTAGGTAGCTCGCAGAGGTGCGCCTGCCGAGAGCTCTCTTGCAGTCCCTGCTATCTCGTGGGTCACTAGCTCTATGCATCCGAGCTAATTTCTCTGTCGGAGTGGAGTCCTGGCCCGAGGCTGAGAGCAAAGCAGGCCTATTAGCTGATGCTTGGGGCCGAGGTAAGGGTGTGAAGGAGAACGATAGGAAGATCGAAACCAAGGCCCATAAGAATGCTGACATAACAGGAAGGGTAAGGAGGACAGACGTCGTTATGTGTCTGCTGAACGTTTTCCTCATACAGGTATCTCGAGGCGGCGTATTCGCCAGTAGCAACGGTCGATCTCTTTTTGGGTAACGTGGCCTTGCTATGGTTGCATCACTTTGCCAATCAGAGCCTTGAGTTTTGCGTTGTAATTCTCGAGAATCCACACACTGGTGTGAACAGGAACAGCCTCTCGAGTTTAAAAACTTCTTTGCATCGCGCGGACCAAACTCTTCTCTCTCGGCCTCATATCACTCACACTTCTGTCGCAGGGCGAGCGACGATTGAGCGGAGCGCAGCCATCTAGACTTAATATGCGAGATGATCACTTGTATATAATTATTAATTAACATCGTATATCGTTGAGCTCCAATCGATAATATGTCTGTGATGATTAGTGATTTGTTATATCACTTTGCCTTTCATGACCTCGGATGGTGGCGATGATCCGTCCAAGAAGCCTGTAGATCCTACTATTCAGAAGCAGTCTGTTGAGTTAACTCCCGAGGAGTTGGTGCTCTTGAAGAAGATCCGCGCAATGGAGTTGGCGGGCCGTGAGCCAACCGACATCAAGGATCCGAAGCGAGCAGGCTATCCGCTAGGGCGTGAAATGGCACATTCTACCGGGATCTGTGATCTTCCCGTAAAAGATCAGAGGACTGTGAGGTCCGAGATGACCATACTGGATATCATAAAGCTACCCATATGTCTCAAGAAACCACGGGGTGGTCCTTCGAGAGAAACACCATATCATTATTTCAAGTCTAAGGTGCAACAGCAAGTCAGTATTTATGGCCTCCGCGGCACTGAGAAGATGCAGTACATTATGCGCTGCATGGAAGAGCCTGCGTTGGCTGATGTTCAGGAACTCGTGCTCAACGACTATTATGATCATGAGATCTGGGCCGAGCTAGATCGTCGCTATGATGAAGGTTTCAAGAAGTACGGTATGCACAGCCGATGGGCTGAGCTTGCCCAAAATGATGGTGAGTCGGCTTCCGCTTTCGCTCGGAGGCTCGAACAAGAAGCCCTATTGATGAAGTCATCTGTGGGTCGAATCATCAGTCGAGAAGAAATGTCGACGAAGTATCGTAATAGTTTGCGCCCGAAGTTGCGTAAGCGATTGCACAAGTATATAGGCCCGAAGTACAAGGATTTCGACAAGCTTAGAGAGATAGCTGACTACTTCGAAGAGTTCGAGAGTAAGCAGCACTCTGGCTCGCTTTCGAAAACTCAACCATCCTCACGTAATGCTGGTGCCAAGAGCAACCAAGGCAAGCGCTGTAAGTTTTTTGGTACTGAAAGAGGATGCCGGTTGGGCGACAAATGTGATTTCAAGCACGAGAAAACACCCCAGAACAATGGACAAGATGGTCAACAAGCGGCTGGCAAGAGCACATCAGTTGCTAAGCCAGGCGGACCACCAGCTAATTCGGGAGTGTGTTATCAATTCTACAACACCGGTACATGCAACCGGGAGAAGTGTTTGTTCAGACATGAACGTCCTGACAATGCTCAGACTAGAAGCTCAGTAAATGTTGTCATGGACGACGACTGCTATGCACTCCAGAATACTGAGTCGAAAGTTCGAAGTTTGACTACACTTGGTTCGCTACCGTGACGTTCAATCAGAGCGTGAAGAGTCCGTGATCACATTATTAGATACCGGATGTACTGCTGAGTTGATGGAGCTCTCGGCGGCGGAGGCGATCGGCCTGCAGGTTAAAGAACTGGCTACCCACAGAGGGGTGAGGCTAGCCGACGGGTCGACGAGACTTGAGGTAGTGGGCACCGCCGCAGCCCGGGTGAATACCAAAAGGACAAGTGCGGTCATCGAATTCAAAATCATGAGAAAGCTGTGTGTACCGGTAATTCTTGGTATCACGGGCATGAGTGCTCTGGGGATCACCATTGATATGCGTGAAGGGCAAGTCCCAAAAGTCTCCAGCGGGCACTATGCGGAGAGAGTCGATGATGAGCTCCCATTCGATGACACCGTTTGTTATGAGTACAGCCCCGAAGAACAGTCGCTGGGACCGAGTGATAGTGATCAAGACTCGGCTGACGACAACACTGAGTTTGCTTGCGGGGTATCATTGATGTTTGACAATGACCCGCAGCAGGCAGGAAACCGAGTTCATCAAGAACCAGACGTAGAAGGAGGTGAGCCCAATAATGACCGACTGCTCGAGATATGGGAGGAAGAAGGTCAATATTGCATAGAACTGCCCTGGAGCGGCACGTCAAGACCCAACCGAAATGGGCAACATGCCCAAGCCAGAGCAGATTATTTGGAGAGGAAACTCTCACCTGCGGAGCTCACCGCCGTCCAAGACGAGGTCAACAGTCTGGTGCTATCCGGAATTCTCAGAGAAGTTGATCCGTCTGAGATCCGGCACTACATCCCTCCCCGACCAGTGTTCCGCAAAGACTCTACCACCACATCAACAAGGCTAGCTATCGATAGCAGATTGATCAATTATCATCTGGAGAAATTGAGCATTGGGGAGCAGCACAAACTGCTCGAAGTCCTGACGGCATGGAGAGGCTCTCCCCATTACACTAGTCTTGATTTGAAAAAGGCCTTTAATTCCGTTGGTATAGGAATGCGGTCACAGCCGTGGCTGGGCTTGAGGCTTTTCGGCAGGAGTTACGTATGGGCCTTCCTCCCGTTCGGCCTCATATGTTCACCCGCCATATTGCTTAGGGCGCTGAAAGACCCTATGGAAGTTTTGTGTCTCGCCTTACCGTGCACGCCACTATGTTATGTTGATGATATCGGCCTTCGAGCCAACACCATCGACGAGTTGCACGAGGCTGAGAGAAGAGCTACTGGAGAACTCGAAAAGAAGGGGTTCCGGACTCAGCCCAAGAAAAGAATCTCGACTGACGGAAGTTGTGATGGAGTGGTCAAGAAGCATCTTGGCTATCTATGGGATGTGGCAGCCGATGAGATCCGCCAACTTCCACCATCACTTCCCGATCTAGATCAGTGGAGTAAAAGACAGGTGATCTCTGCCTATGCTAAATTTTTCGATGTTATGGGCCTGTTCCTCGAAGTGGGCATCAGCGCCCGCAGTAATGCATCGTTAGTTCATGAAGATCACCGCGACTGGAAGGACATTGTGGGTGGCATTCACGTCCGAGCGTTGAAGGACTGGCATGATGCTATCACGACATTGGCTCCGGCGGTTCCTAGAGCCGTAGGTTCGGCGCGTGTAGTGATTTTTTGTGATGCGAGCGGTCTGGCATGGGCAGCTGAAGCCTACTGCGTGAGACTAGGGGGAGCTGATGACTTGAACCCGGCCGATCGTCTTTACCGATGGCGAGCGGTTGGCGGGATTTTTCCCCGTGACTGCAAATGGTCGACTCCCAAGAGGGAACTATTTGCCCTTCGACAGGCTACTCGGTTGGGCGAGGAGCTGATTGGTTGCGCCAAAGTTCATGGCCGTCCTCTGGTGACGAAGCCCGACATTACCTATCTGTCGGATGCAGAAATCAACATCTTCCGTCTTCGCCGCATCGGCAAGTCCAGGTCTGGTACGGACGCGGTCGATGTTTCGCGTTTGGAGAAGAAGTGGCTAAGTGAGATCTCCATGCACTGCAACCAGTATGGGTGCGATGTGATCCACGTGCGAACTAAGGATAATCTTGCCGATGCAGCCTCTAGGGGATGCTTGGATAGTTCTACTACGTTGGGTATGAGCGATGTAGACCGCCTGCGTCATGCTTCTACTCTGACTCGCTTCGAGCCATCAGGTCAACAAACGTTGGTGTCGAAGGAAGATGAGCCGGAGGCAGTCCCTAGAGCAGTGGAAGATCTGAGCCAATATGAAAGTGCGGATGAATTCGTGTGCGAATTGTTCGCCATTTTTGACGAAGAAGAGATAAGTTCCGAGGTGAGCTCGGTCGGCACTTTGCAGGAGGCCGAGCCACTTGATTGGAATGAGATTCTGAGAGACCATCAACGAGCTTCGCCGTTTTTGCGGAATCTGAGAAGCTTTGTTGAGACAGGAAAGCTAGAGGAGAAATGCCCTATTTCGTTGCGAGCGTTCAAAAATGATCGAGAAATGTATATGATCGAGGACGACCTTTTGAAACGGCGGATTCGCAGCGACGGGAAAGGTGCATTCGTGCCTCAAGTGATGATTGACCACAGTGATGATAAGATGGTCAACTTGGTGATTGATAAGTATCACGATAAGTCTGGCCACATGAGTGCGAGCAAGCTGGAAGGCATCATTCGTGAAGAGTTCTTCTGGAGAAGGATGAGTGTCAACATACGCAGAAGACTTCGGTCATGCGATTGCTGCCAACGAGTAGCTGCTCAATCCAAGTGGCGGAAAAACGTAAGCGCACTGAAGCTGAAGGGAAATGCCCCGTGTCAAATTTGGGGGATTGACCATGTATGCGGCTTACCAGAGGGTCAAGTGCGAGGCCGGGGCGAGGGAGGATATAGGAATATCCTCACGATAACCTGTGCAACGACGGGATTTACTTGGCTGAGAGCGTGTCGATCGACAGGAGGTGAAGAGGTGCGAGCCATCCTATCGGACTTGGTCGGTGATGTGGGCCGGCCATTGTTGCTCATCTCTGATCGTCACCAGGCCTTTCGAAGTAAGTCTCTCACTCAATGGGCAATGAGTAATAGCATCAAGCTGGCTATGCTGCCAGCACGTGGGGGACCATACAGCGGGTGGTTTGAACGTGGACATGGTAAGCTTCGAGATTTCATCGCCAAAAGGAATGCTGATGATCCGGAGTCCATGCAGTTCTGGCCAACCTGGCTCTCCGAAGTACAACTGGTGATCAATTGTACTCCCTTCTCCAATAGTGAGCTGTCACCAGCTGACCTTATGTATGCATATAAGGTCTCGACGCCGTGGGAGATGCGTAATGGTGCTGAATGTGGTTTGATGGATGGTCGATAGTGGGCCTCACGCACAGGTTGTGTGCGCCACAGGTGCCTGCGTGCAATCATGTGCACGCGTGTTTTTGCTCGGGCCGAGCAATGGCCAGTCCTTTATTCGTACAACCCAAGTCTGAGTCGTAGTAGACCCCATCTCCATCAGATTTATGTCTTAGTAGTAAGTTATTGACCTTGAGACTTAATGGCATCTTCACTGAGTCGTGTTCATGACTCATGAATCATGAGGCGGAGCCCGGTCAAACTCTCACATCTGGCTCCGATGCGGGGACCCTTCCGCCTCTGTGCGACATCTTCGTCATCGAAGAGGGCGCCGCTGACCAAGCTCAGGTTTTGGACGCCCTCTCCATGACCCCCGACCCCGAGGTCGGTGCAGATATACTCTTGAGGTGCATAGAGAAAGCCGTTGTCGGAGGAGGTCCTCCACGGCTAGAAGCTCTGGTCGAGCAACTTGCACACCACCTGCTCGTCTCTCCAGTCGAGGTGGTCCCTGAAGCGGTGAGGTTGTACCTCGTGGACCTTTCCCCAGAAGAGCTGCCCAAGTATGTGGACGAACATCTCGGTTGGGCATGCAGTCGGGCCGCGGTCGGCCTATTGCCGCCCGAGACCTCACAAAAACTTCTTGACCTCCTCCCCCCCATGGTGGTCTACGCTGCCCTTCAGAATGAAAGGCTAGCTCATTTTCCGGGAGCTCAGACTCTTACCCCCTTGTACCGTCGCAAAAACCTTTCCTCGCTCCTGGAATTAAAGAGCTCCGAAGCGAGCCCCTTCAGCGAGGGGTGGACCGCCCGCCTTTTCCAACGGAGAAGCGAGGTGTCCAGGCAGACCGCCGGCGGCCCGGCTAGTCTTCAGCAGGCGGCTCCTGCTCAGCACTTCCATGGTTTCAATCATCGGTCTACCTCCTCGCCCCCGCGCAGGTCGGTTTCTAGGGAGCGCGGAGAGATCTCCTCCGGGCGCTCCCCGGGGGCCTTGAATCTAACGCCCCCGTCTCACGGATCCCGGGTGACCTTGAGGCCGAATCCGGACGCCATCTCGAACGGGGACCGTAGACTGGCCTCTCGGGATGCTGATAAAGCATCCTCAGCCTTCAAGGGCGGTCCCTTCAAAGGCGTCGATGACAAGCGCGGACTCTCAGGTTTTTGGCGTCAAGTAGAGTCGTTGGTGGTCCGGCGTGGTTGGCAAATCGGCGGTCCTGAGCATTATTTTCTTCTCACTAATCTAGTTCCGGAGTACACGCTCGAGGAGGCCGTGGGACGTAAGAATCCTGTGACTCTGGTCGACTTTTCGACGTCCGTTGCTGATATCCGCTCCGCTCTAGCGGAAGAGTGTGGTGGCCACTTCGAGGTCGAGAAGCTCTTATCAGAACCCACTGCCCGCTCGAACCAGGAGACCCTGACATCCTACATCGGGCGTCTGGATGAGTGGGCCAGACGCTGTGCTTTAGCCCGGCGCTCCCCTCGGTGACG